ACTGCCTACAGATTGGGAAAGGATCTTCACCAACCCTATATCTGACAGAGGACTGATATCCAGTATATATAAAGAACTCAAGAAGTTAAACAGCAACAAATCAAGTAATCCAATTAAAAAATGGAGTTCAGAGCTAAACAGAGAATTCTCAATAGAGGAATATCGAATGGCAGAGAAACACTTAAAAGAAATGTTCAGTGTCCTTAGTCATAAGGGAAATGCAAATCAAAATGACCCTAAGATTTCACCTTACACCATCAGAATGGCTAAGATAAAAAAAAAAAAACTCAAGTGACAACACATGCTGGAGAGGTTGTGGAGAAAGCGGAACCCTCCTCCACTGCTGGTGGGAATATAAACTGGTACAACCACTCTGGAAAGCAATCTGGCACTTCCTCAGACAACTAGAAATAGCACTTCCTCAAGATCCAGCTAGACATATACCACTCCTAGGCATATACCCAAAAGAGGCTCAAGTACAGCATAAGGACATTAGCTCAACCATGTTTGTAGCAGCTTTATTTGTAAGAGCCAAAAGCTGGAAACAGCCCAGATGCCCCTCAGTTGAGGAATGGATACAGAAATTGTGGTGCATCTATACATTGGAATATTACTCATCAATAAAAATTAAAAAAAAAAAAAAGGAAATCATGAAATTTGCAGGTAAATGGTGGGAACTGGAAAAGATCATCCTGAGTGAGGTATCCCAGAAGCAGAAAGATGCACACGGTATATACTCACTCATATAGACATAATATAGGATAAACCTAGTAAAATCTGTACACCTAAAGAAACTAATCAAGAGGGAGGACTCTTGCTAAAATGCTCAATACCTATCCAGAAAGGCAAAGAGGATGGACATCAGAACAAGGAGAAAAGAGGGGACAAGTCAGGAGCCTGACACAGGACCTCTGAAAGGCTTGCCCTGCAGACTATCAATGCAGATGCTGGGACTTATGGGCAACCTTTGGGCAGAGTGCAGGGAATCTTATGAAAGAATTGGGAAACAGTAAGATCTGGAGAGGACAGGAATTTCACAAGGAGAGCAACAGAACCAAAAAATCTAAGCACAGGGGTCTTTCCTGAGACTGATACTCCAACCAAGGACCATGCATGAAGATAACCTAAGACCCCTGCACAGATGTAGCCCATGGCAGTTCAGTATCCAAGTGGGTTCCATTGTAATAGGATCAAGGACTGTCTCTGACATGAACTGATTGGCCTGCTCTTTGATCACCTCCCCCTGAGGGGGGGAACAGCCTTACCAGGTCACAGAAGAAGGCAGTGCAGCCACTCCTGATGAGACCTGATTGACTAGGATCAGAAGGAAGGAAAAGAAGACCTCCCCTATCAGTGGACTCTGGGAGGGGCATGCATGAAGAGGGGGGAGAAAGGAAGGATTGGGATGGGAGGAGGGAGGGAACCACAGGGGAGATACAAAGTGATTAAAATGTAATTAATAAAGAATTGAAATTTTTTTTAAAAAAATGACTTAATCTATTGTGGCTGAGGGGGAGTTTCAACAAAAAAAAAACAAAAATAAATAACAGTGGAAGCAAAGAATCAAGATCAGGACAATTTAATAAAATAGAAGTAGGAAAAGAACCTGAGTTAACAGTATTTTGAAAAGATCAAGATTAATAAGGTCTTAGTCAAACTAACAAAGTAAGAGAAGGCCCAGATTGATAAAATTAGATTTTAAGTGGAAGAGATTACAGAAGATATCAATGAAATTCAGAAATTTCAAGACATTTTTAAGGCTTATATTCCACCAAATTGGAAAAGTGAAAGAAATGATGAATTTGTAGACAACACAACATAGATATTTTAAAAAACGAACCAGAATATCATAGCAATACTAAGATACAGAACAACAAAAACAAACAAACAAACAAAAAAACCCTAAACTGGTTTATAGGAAACAATGAAAATGGGGCTGGAGAGATGGCTCAGTGAGAGTACTTGCTCTCCTAGAGCAGTTCCAAGAACCCACATCTGGAAGCTCACAATCACCTGGAACTTCAACTTTAAGGGAATCTGACAGCTTCTGGATTTTGTGGGCACCAGGTACAGAGATACATGCAGGCAAAAATAAAATTCATGCACATGAACAAAATTCAAACATTTTTTAAAAAATACTAGACAGTAGAAAGTCTTCCATGCTCATAGACTGAAAGAATTAATGTGGGAAATGGCTTATACCACCTTCAGCAATCTACAAATTCAATGCAAATGCCATCAAAGTTCCAACACCATTTTTTCATAGAAATAGAAAAAAATATTTCAAATTCATATAGTAACACAGAAGACCCAAGATAGCCAAAGTAGTCCTGAGCAAAAAGAATGGTTGCAAGGTCACACTACCCAGTTTCAATTTGTACTAAAAAGCTAAGGTTTAAAAAAAGAGCATGAAAATATCATAAAAAGAGACACATAACTCAGTGAAATGTAATAGAGGATCCAGATAGAAACCCATATAGCTACAGCCATCTGATTTTTTGCAAAGACAAAAATTTGCATTGGTGAAAAACAGCCTCATCAACAAATGTTACTGGATAACTACATATGAAAGAATCGAACTAGCTCTCATACCTCATCCTATACAAGAATTCAACTCTTTAAGACTGGAGACAGAGCTCAGTAGTTAAGAGCATTGCTCTGAAAGGGGATTCAGATTATATTTCAAGCACCCACATGCTAGCTCACAACGATCTGTAACTCATTCCAAAGAATCTCGCATCCTCTTCAGTCCCCCTTAGACAACACGCATATGTGGTACACATTCAAAGCTTCATGTGCATAAATTAAAATAAAAATGCAGCTCCATAAAATGTCTTCATAATGTAAGACCTGAAACTAATGGAAACATTTCAAGATATTGGCATCGACATTTTCTGGATAGGACTTCACTCAGGAAATAACACCATCAATTAACAACTGCTATTTCATTAAATTCAAAAGCTTCTGCACAGCAAAGGAGACAATCATATGGATAACATGCAGAATAAGAGAAAAGTGTTTACTAAATATACATCAGACTGGATTATTATCTACAATATACCGAAAATTAAAAACTAGACACCCAAAACATAGCTATCCAGTCCATACATGAGCTAATGAAATGAGAAGACAGTGTACAAATAAAAACTACGTTAGATTCCATCCTGTGCCAGTCAGATCGGCAGTCTCCGATATTATACTGGCAATGATGCAGAAAGAAGGGAATCTTTATACACAGCTGGTAGGAATGTAAAATAGTTATGTAAAATCAGTATGGAAGTTCCTCAAAAGAAAATGAACCTACCATATAACACAGCTGTATAACTCCTCAGTATTTACCCAAAAGACTCCAGGTCAACATATCACAAAGAGTAGTGTTCATTGCAGCATTATTCACATAACTAAGTTATGGAACAAACCTAGGTATCCATCAACAGAGGAGTGGGTAAAGAAATGTTTATGTACACGGTCATAAAGAAGAATGAAGCCATGCTAATTGTAGGAACCTGGATGCAACTGGAGGTATATTAAGCAAATTAATTCAGTCCTAAGGTAGATATCGTATGCTTTCTTTCATATGTCGACCCTAGACTTTATAGATAAGACCCTGGTACAAGCACAAAAGCAGACAGACAGACCAAAGTAATAGGCCTAGAAACAAGCCCAGTAGTTTTTAATAAGCCATGTGGTTTTTCAACAAAGGTCTCAAAAACATACACTGGTGGAAAAATAATGTTTGGACAAACAGAAATGCCTTTCTTTTTAAAAATTTTTTTAAAAAAAGTTACTTTGAGCCAGGCCCAGTGGTACAGGCCTATAATCCTAGCACTCAGGAAGGCAGAGGTAGTCAGATCTCTGAGTTTGAGACCAGCCTGGTCTACAAAGTGAGTCCAGAACAGCCAAGGATACACCTAGAGACCCTGTACCAAAAAAAAGAAAAGGAAAAAAAAAACTTTGATATTAGTGATGTAGCCAGTAGCCAGGTAGTAGACCACTTACTTAGAATGAATGAGGACCTTTCTTCCTTAGCACAAAAATAAATATTAAACAAGAAGGAATACTATGCTGCAATAATTGAGTTGCAAGATGATAATCGTGATATTTAGCATTATTAAAAGGAGTTTTGGTGTCTAAACAGGACTCAAATTTAGTAACTATTTTATTTCTTTTTCTCATAGTTCAGCTTTTTGGACATGACATATGTTATACATGTATCTTTTGTCTTTTTTTTAACTCTTTGAAACAGTCTTGCTATGTATCCCACTCTTAAGCTCGAACTCACCATTCTTTTTCCTCTGCTTCCTGATTGCTGGGATTTATTTGCATGTAAAAATAAAATAATCTAAGTTATATTTTTACTGCTGTTGCTTAGGATATATTATTAGTTGTTTTATTAGTTTATGTGTAACTGATAATTACATGATGGTTTTGTAAAGACCTATACAAGTATAAGAAATTTTGTATTGAAATATTTTATTGTTATTTTTTACTTTGATTTCTCTAAAGCAAACTTTTTTTATTTTAGTAAATTTGGGGGGGGGGTGTTTTTCAAGGAAACTAGAGATGTATTGAGTGGTAAAGCACTTCCCTTCTATGTACAAGGCCTTGGGTTTCATCCACAACCTAAAGGAAGGGGAAAGAAAAAAGAAAGAAACCAAAGATCATTGCTCTGATCTGAAATCTATTGGGTCCCAATTTTTAAGCCAGAACATGAATCGTTCATGCATTTACATCTCAATCCCTTTAGTCCCCTTCACTCTGAAAAGCAAGGACACCAGTATTAATCTCTGGTTCCAGTGCTGGTCAGCATACAGAAAAGCTTACTTCTACGGTGGCCAGTTCTTAAAAAGTAAAAATGTTAAGATAGGTTTATGCATATAGTTTAGTGATTTAAAAAAAAAACAAAAAACTTGGAGACCCTAGGCTCAATTCCCAAAACTGCAAAATTAATATTTAATTAATGTTCTAAGAAAATGGTAATAATTAATGCATTTATTTAGGTATGGTTTCATCACTTTTGAAACTCAAGAAGATGCACAAAAGATCTTACAAGAGGTAAGTCCTTTCAGTGTATTTAACTTCTGGTTTGGAACTTCTTTCTTTGAAACTGAACCTTTAATGGTATAGTACAAGTACAGTGGCCTATTTATGTGTGTATACATGTATATATGTACATGTATGTGTGTATGTATTTTAAGATTGACTTTGGCTTCTAGAAAACGGTCTAAGAAACAATACATTCCAAGCCATTACATGAGGATGGTTGTTAAGATATATTGTATTTAGATTTATTTGTTTACATCAGTATTTTAAAATGTATCTGTTATGCATCATTTGTTAATTCCTTAGAAACACTACAAATGTAGATTATCAGAATAAGATTACCTGAGATTATTTCCTTCTTATGAAAAAACTTTGCATAAACCAAGAATGTTCATCTATAGTTCATTTTTGATAGCTTTTAATTTATGGCAAGTATAACATTTAATCTTTTTAGAAAAAAAAAGTAGTTTAATTATATATTATTAAGATCTTTCTTATACAGTCAGTTCTTACCCACAGTGATTTTATATTCTGTAAAGTCATCATAAATACTGAAATTAGTGAATACGGAACTTCTGGTGTTCCTGGTTAGAATACAAGAAGGTTCCAAAAATCCTCTAGTCACAATAGTGCCACCACTAAATCATCATATAACCTAGTTTTGTGTGTTTCTTTTTAAAGAAATTGTGTTCAAAACTTTTTGTTTGTAACAAAAACCTGAGAGAGACACTTTAAAAGGCAGAAAGACTATTTTAGCTCATGGTTTCACAAGTTTCAGCTCATAGCTAGCTGGTTCCATTGATGTGGGCCTTCAGCAAGGCAGAACAATCCTGGCCCACAAGTGAATGGACAAGAGGTAGAAAATGGCTGAGGAAGACATCAGTGATAAGCTATAGTTCTCAAGAGCATACATACCATGACTCACTTCCTCCAACTAAGCCTTACCTTTAAATTTTCCATCATTTCCCAATAATGCTATCAGATAATTAACCCATCAATAGTCTGTTAAGTCAGATTCTTTACTATCTGATCAACTCCTATGGTTGGATCTATCAGTTGAGACAAAGCCTTCAATAAATGACTTTTTTGGGAGGAGGGTGGGCACTTTATATTCAAGCCACAATAGACACTATGCTTACTTGCTGAATAATTAACATTGTATTCATGGCCAGTAGCACTATAATTATACCTGAATTAAGCAAGTCAACATATTTTCTCCATAAAAATATATGACAACCCTCTTGTGCTTAGGAACATTAACTAGTGCATCAGCACCTGGGAGCCATTTTTTGAAAAAGCACACAATGTGAAAATCATATCTAAAAAGGACACTTGATTATAATATGATAGCTAGAACAAGAAAAAAATCATTGATCTTTCCTGGGCACTTGTGATTGAACTACTCACATTCCCTTTACTGTCAACCAGTAACCTTGAAATGACTACAAACAGTGGTTTAGAAATTGTGAGTAAATTTTAGAGAAATTGTAAGTTGCAAATGCACAATCAGTAAGTAATGGTCATTACTACATCACCTAGATTCATAGCAGTAGAACCAAGGCACAGATACAGAGTATTTGAATCCAGAAACCATCTTTTGAGACTTGAGGATGTGGCTCAGTAGTTAGCATGCTGATTCCCAATACCACACAAACTAGGTGGTGTTGGCATGTGCCTACATTTGTAGCACTTGAGAGGTTGAGGCAAAAGGATCAGAAGTTCAAAGTCAGCTGATTTACAGTATCAGGTTTGAGGCCAACCTGGGATATAAGAAATCCAGTATTTAAAAAGAGAAGAAAAAGAAACTGTCACATGATGTCTGTTAGTTTCATACTGTTTGTCACTGATTTTTACAAATCACAGTGTCAAAATGACGGGTTTTTTTTCCTTTATTTTAGGCTGAAAAACTTAATTATAAGGATAAGAAACTGAACATTGGTCCAGCAATAAGAAAACAACAAGTAGGGATTCCTCGTATGTATTGAGAACTAATGTATTTTTTAATATTTTCCATGGTCCTTTTGTAAAATATTAGACTTTTATAGACCTTTTATTAAAAATAACCTCCTTTATGTAATAAGGTGATTTTAGCAAAATTGGTAGTCATATAAATATTCATACCAGAAATTAAAATATCTTAGTTTGAGGGTATAAGGGGAATATACATGAACAATGTCAAGTGTAGTCTATATACTAACATTTTAAAGGAAAAATCTTTTGTGTTTAATTAGCATACAAAGTACTGTGTTTCATCGTAGCATTTTCTTTTTACTGAAAATTCATACACTATATTCTGATCATGGTTTACCCTCCCCCAGATCTTTCCCACCCATCTAACTCTATGCATTTTCTCTCTCTCTCTCTTTCTCTCACTCTTGCTCTCTCAAACAGGCAAAATGAAAAATAATTTTAAACTAAAAAAGCACCAGACACACAAATAAAACCCATAAAAAGAGTCAGAAACCATAATATGCAAACAAGAGACAAATGAGATTTAAAAAGAAATTCTCCAACAATATGAGAACAAAAGGACATCTACAAAAATATCATTGAGTTCATTTTGCATTGGCTCTCTACCTCTGGGCGTGGAGCCTGTCTTAAGTGTGGTTTATATACTCAGTGAAAACTCCACTGAAGAAAACAAAGTTTTCTTTTGTAAGCAGCTGTCAGTTGTAGATAGCTTCATGGTTAGTGATGGGAGCTCATGTCTACTTCTCCCGTCAGTTCTGGGACCCCATCTGACTTGAACCTGTGCAAGCCCTGTGCGTACTGCCACTGTCTTTCTGCATTTATATGTGGGTTAGTTCTGTTGTGTCTGACACTGTTTCCTTGTTGTCAGTCCACCCCACGTGGCTCTTTGACTCTTTCTTCATCCTCTTCCACATAGCTCCCTGAGCCCTGATGTCAGAGGAGGGGGAGTTGAAGAATACATCCCTTTTAAGATGTTTCAAAAATATTCCAAAGTCTCTGTACATTATCCAGTTGTGGATCTCTGCAGGAATGATCACCTTTTGTGAGGTGACTGAGGAAGGCACTGGATCTAGAGGTAGAGCAGAATGTCATTAGGAGTTATTTTATTACTGTGTTCCTGTAGCAGAACACTAGTATTTTGTTTTTCCCTAGGACCATGGCCTCTCTAGTAACCACCTGAGCATTGTCAGGCATGGGTTCCATCTCTTGGAGTGGACCTTAAATACAGACAGATCGTGGTTGGTTACTCCAGTGGCATTTGTGCCACCATTACACCAGTGTATCACGCAGGCAGCTGTTACAGTTTGCAGGTCTGTAGCTGGGTTAGCATGCCTAGTACCTTCCAGTTACTATGAACAGTAGTCAAGAGGGTTAAAGGTTCTAGCTGGGCAACAGCTCGACTTCTCCATGTTAAATAAGATATTTAATGTCTTCAGCAGTAGTACCTTACCATCAGTTTTTCTAGAGCAACCAGTACCCTTGTCAATAACCTGGGTTATTTGAGGGTTTCCATGGGGAGCCTTTGGCCAACAACTCAGTTAGATGTGACCCATTCCTGGCCCTGTAGGTTTCATTTGGTAGCTAGAAATTTCTAGTTGGGTCATCATATTTCCTACTATTTGGTAACTCCATTTATATTTCTTTCATAAATGTATAGATTTTAAGAAGCTTCTATAGTAGTAGGTTTACATATGACCCCTCAAATGGCCTGTAATGTCCCTCTTCATACTCCCTTCTTTACCCTCTTCTTCCTTCCCCCTCTCCTTTAAATCCTCCCATTTCAATCTCACCCCACAGCCCCATCTTTTCATAACTGTATATTCTATTTTCCTAAGGGGATCCTCCTCTTCCTCTCACCCTGTCCCTTACTCTTAACCTAAGCATGATTATACAGATTGTAGCATGTCAATTTAAAGTCTTAAAAGCCAACATCCACATAAAAGAGAATGTATACTATGTTTGTCTTTTGGGGTCTGAGTTACCTCACTCAGGGTGATTTTTTTCTGACTCTATCCATTACCTGTAAATTTCATAATTTTGTTGTTTTTTTTAACATCTAGATAATATTCCACTGTGTAAATGTACCACATTTTCTTTATCCATTCATCTGTAGTTGGACATCTAGGCTGTTTGCAATTTCTGGCTATTCTGAATAGAGCTGCAATGAACATGGATGAGCAGGTGTCTCTGTAGTACAATGTAGAGTCCTTTGGGTAGATGCCCCAGAGTGGTATAGCTACATTTTAAGGTAGATCTATTCCCAGCTTCCTGAGAAACCACCACGCTGATTTCCTATATAAGTTTGTATTCCTATTAGCAATAGGTGACTGTTCCCATTACTCCATGTCCTTAAAACATGAGCTGTCATTTATTTATTTGAGAGGTGTAAAATGAAATCTCAAAGTAGTTTTGATTTGCATTTCCCTCATGACTAAGGATATCGAACATTTAAGTGTTCTCAACCATTTCTATTTTATCTCATTCAGTTCTGTGCCTCATTTTTTAATTCAAAGTTTCCTTGGCCTCCAGGGGTTTTGTTTAATTCTTTTTATATTTTAGATACTAATCCTCTAGGTGATAGCATTTTCAAATATAATTTGTTTGTTGATCTCTGAACCCTCTGTTTTCTCCCACATCTTTCTGCCTTTTTTCCATCCTTCCACCCCCAGTAGCCTCTTATCTATTTTTGTATCATGTATTTCTGTTCTTCATCTCTCAGCACCTCTTTTTCCCTTTCTGCTTATATGACCTACACACACACACAAAGACACACACATATACACAAATCTATACATTTAAACCTAGAATAAGTACATGAAAGAGGACAACTGTTATTTGTCCTTCTGAGTCTGGTTTATCTAACTTAGTATTTTCCAGCTACATAAATTTTTCTATTCTCCTAATTTTTCTTTATAGCTGAAAAAAATTTTTCTGTGTATATGTACTTATATTTTATTATCCATTGAACTGTTGATGAACTTCTAGGCTGATCCCGTTTTCTTGCTATTATAAATATACTTAAACATATATAAATATACTTAAACATATTATAAAGATACTTAAACATATATCCAAAGGAAAAATAATGAAAATAACACTTAAAATAGCTAAATAAATTTAGAATTACTAAGTAAGATGGTTTATGATTATAAAAATATTTTAGGTTAATTAAAGTAAGAATATAGGACTAATAAAAAAGTAAATGCATGATATGTTCTTTAATCAAACAGTATGTATCCTAATTTTCAGAGGAAACACACTAAAGCTTTGGTATGAGATAAGTTATTTGTATGCCTTCCTCAAATTTCTGCAATTCTTTGTCTCTTTTTTTCTTCTTTCAACTTTTATATTAAGTAGTTTTTCTCATTAAAGAAATTTTTCACATGAAATGGTTAGTAATTTTACTTTTTCTTAACCATATTATGTTTCCTGGAATGATGAAACATTAGATGTTATCATGTCACTGTCAGCAAATTTAGAAATTGTGTTAAAGTATTCTGTTGTCCACAGTTAACAAAGATTAATTTTAACTTTGATTCAGTATTTATTAGCTTAATTATTTCAAAATGTATTTTTGGCTGCAAAGATGTCTCTGTAAAGTACTTGCCAAAAGAATGAAGACTTGAATTGGATCACTTATAATCCTTATAAAAATCAAGATATGGCAACAAGCACCCTGTAATCTCAGAGCTAGGGAGGCAGATACCAGAAGATCCATGGGGCTTGCTGTCCAGCTGTCTGGCCGAATCAGTGAGCTCCACGTTCATGAAAGACCCTATCTCTAAAAATAAAGTAGGGAATGATTGAGAAAGATACTTGACATCAACCTTTGATCTCTGTATGAAAGATCATACATTCTCAGACACAGAGATACAGAGAAGATTGTACTAAAGATACGATTCTGGATATTTTCAGAATATTGTTGTTTGTTGTAAGAGTTTAACTGTAATAATTATATTAACAGTTCTTTGGCCCATTGTCTACTGGCTGCTTTCAAATATACAAATAGTTTGAATTATTCAGAACTATTGAGCAGAAGAGCCAATGTTACAGATTTTCATCTGCTTCATGAAATCTTTACAGAAACCTGAGAAGTGTTAGCTATGTTATTAAATACACATTTAATAACATTTAAGTACCATTTTAATACCATTTAGTTGCACCGGCACAATGTCAAAACTGTGGTCTACTAAACAAGACCTGCACAGTGAAAAAACACCAGTTGACCTTTCTGCTGAAATACTGCTAATAACAGAGAAGAGTTTATCTTGGCCAGTTGTGATCTTACACTGGAATTCCATATTTTCCTAGAAGGCTTAGTTCATGTAAAATCTCCATAGATAATTTGCATTGTTTCTTAGTATCAGTTGTTTGCTTATTTGAAGATAAACTTTTTCCCCAAAACTATAGCTGTTTGAATTAATATGGTGATATTCTCCCAGAGGCAGTTTCATCCTGTGCCTTGTCTCCTGGGATAACACCTCATATTCTAATGTGAGAAGTATAGGATTAACTTGCCCACATGGTAGCATTAGACTTCATTGTAAGACTTCTGGACTCCAATGCTAGTTTTTATTTTATCTGCAAATAAAAATGAATATTAAAATGAATTTCTACAACTTCAAGAAATTCGTATCTTAGTTTTTTCTCAAATTGTCATTTTTTTATTTTTTTTTACCAGCCTTCTTTTCCCAGCAGTCTGATCTGCTTGCCTTCATTACTGCGAAATGCTTTAATAGGTCTTTCTGCATGCAATCTGGTGGCTTCTTAACTAATCATTCATAAAACTACCAACACAATATTTAAGAAGCACACATCAGCTTATGTCATCTTTTTTCTCAACTTATCTTTAACTATTATTCCCATTTCTTTTTGTGCTATTGCCAAAGGTCTTCTCAATCCCAGGACATATTGTACTTCTCAAGACTCTGATATACACACTGTTTCCTTTACCTTACCCAGTACTCTTTTTGACATCTCATTCTTTCTTTGAAACCCAGTTC